CAGCAGGAAACTTAATACGCTTTTGCCTGTGCACTCTGGAGCTGGTGTAACTTTTCCATTAACTTAAACAAATGCTGCTGTATTTTTAGACCATGTAATTACCCTACATCAGCAGGCTGGCCCTTGCAAAAGCACACTGGAGAAAGATTCGAGCCCTGTGTTTCTCTGCTTATAACTCTGAAACCCAAGCCCTCGGATGTGGTGATTAATGAAATGCCTCTTGATCATTTGATCTGATCCTACTTGCTGAGGTAAATTGTTTTAGTTTTCCATTGGCATAGATAGGATTTTTTGGTATAATGACTGGAGGGTAAAGACTTCACACTTGAAAAGACATACCACTCTGTGTTAATGGACGACCACTGAGAATTGGAACATGTTTTCAACTTCTTCATTCCTCCCTCAAAGATAAAAGACTAAGGACATATTTTTGTTATGTCCAAAGAAAGTTCCTTGCTTGAAATGCTGTATGAACATCCTGGTAATAGCATTAGCTCTGTAATTCTGCTGTTCGAAAACCTCAACAGCTCTGTGAGTACAAGCATTTGTCAAGAGGCAACAGGCATTTGGCAATGACAAAATCTGTCATTTTTTCTGAAGTTGGAGTGTGCCAGTCAACAGCTGCGTTAGGCTGTCAGCATAATGCACTGCAAAACATCGGCAGATTCACAATGCCACCATTAACACTTTAATTCAATGTTTTGATAACAAGAAGCTCCATGAGGTATACAGTTGGCCTCTTCTGTCACAGAAGTCAGTGCCTGCTTCAGATTTGTCTGTGCTGAGGTTTAGCATAGTTACTGTAAAACATGGCCAGGCCATTCTTCATTTGTTATAACACTTCATTTGCTTTGCTCTTAAAGCAAATTTCCATTCCAGGGAATGAAGAACTGATTTTAAAAAATGGTATTGCCAAGAATATTTATTAAAATAGTTCTGCTACCCCAGTAAATGAATTACTAATGCATTTGAAATTACAGCACAATAAAAAGCTTTAGAACATAAAAATAAACACTTGTAGCGATTTGGGAATTTTATATATCACACAACGGCCAGGGTTTCAGCAAGTAGTAGCTGTTGCTCAAGTTCATAAAGTCATATGAATGTGTTTGATGTATCTGATCTATTAAGACAAGCAGACACTAAAGCAAATGGTGGTTTCATGAATAATCTGCTTTGCTTTATTTTATAAGCCAATATAACTTCTTGCATCTTGTTCTTGACCTGTAAGGCCATCTTCATTTCAGCAGATGATTCCCAAGTTTTTAAGAATTTGTAAAAGCAGTTATTATTATTATTTCTTTTCCTTATTAATCTAAAAGAGCGAGCTTGATTTATTTGTGATTTTTTTTTAATGTGTGTTTTTGTCATCAGTTCTTGTAAGAACAACTTCTGGATCCAGCTGATCCTACAAAAGGTTGTAAGAATATCTCCTACATTTCTGATCTTCATTGTCTCAGTGGAATGGGACTACTATTACAGGACTGGGAATCTCTCAAGTAGGTAGAAACACTCTCACAGCAGTCTACGTTCTGTATTCAAGAGCTGTAGCTGTCCAAGAAACATGAGAGAAACAGACATCTAGATCCCCAAGAAGAGGCATGTATCTCCACTTAGACGGTGTCTGAAACACCCTGCGATAACATTCAAAAAGGCAGAGCCTCTGTGAGTAGGTACGTGGATAAAGGTCAAGCTGTTTTTCAGGGGAAACATGAGGTTTGAGAGGTGTAATCTCCAGGCAATGTCCTCAGCACTGGATGGCATGACCTCCGAGGAGGCCACAAAGCTTGCAATGAGAATGCACTGTACAGAAAACTCTCTTGGCAGCAGAGGGAAAGGAGGAGAATGCATCATCCACAGACCTTAGCTTTTAGAGATGTATTCAGTTCTTTTCTATTCCCTTTGTGAATCCATTATTCATCAGCATGAATTTTCTTGAGACTTTCAAAATCTCCTTAAGACTTTCTTCACCACCTACAAAGCAAGTTTTGCCCAGAAACTATACACTAGGCTATGTATTTCCAAAACTAGTTGGCAAATACAGAAAAGTGGTGCGTTAGGCTATTTAATGGCTTTTTGACAAGAAAATAGAATCTCATCCTCACTACAAAGCTCAGGGAAGATTCTCAGCCTGCGTGTCATAGATTATTCACAGCTCTCAATGACATAGGGGAAAAGTAAGCAATCTCACCACCTCTGAAAATACCAATACCATTTAGCCTGTATTTTCACAGAACTGCTGTTCATAAGATTCAACTTTAATCACCTACCTACAAGTTTGAAAAGGGTCGACAGTCTGAAATCCTCTGAATGATGGTACTTCAGAAGCTCAACTGAAGAGACTGAAATGTGGATGAAGTATCCTGGTTTTGCAAATGACTCAAAGGAACTGTATCCTGAAAGCCATGTATTCTTGTGAATGACAAATGTAGATCTGTTGTGAAACTCTTTGCTTTTTTCCCATTTAGAAAGAACAAGAGTATTACTGGAGGACAACAGAAGAAAATAGTTTGGTCTCTCAGCCATTTCAAATGAAATCAAGTTGGAATCTGAAAAAAACACACAGAATTTATTTACTTACATAATAAACTAACCTCATTCTGATGTACCACTACTGATATTAGTAGCGTGAGCAATGAAAACTGACTTTGGCGTTATCAGTGAAAATAGCCTGAATCTTGTAAGAAATATGGATTTCAGAGTGTTAGATACTGATGGATACTTAGTTTTTTAAATATCCTACAGATTTCAACAGGAATACAAGCAGATTAAAACACATAAACACATTTGCCCACACCAAGATAAAGGAATATAGCCCCGCAGTTGAGGAGAACTTCAGTTTACAACCTTCACTAAGCCATTTATTTAATACAAATTTAAACTTCATCTAAATAGCTTTACAAATAACATTTGCCATCAGGAATTTATAGCTTAAGAGCTCAGCCTTTCATTAAAAATAAATTACAAAGATGTATTTTGCATTCAGCTTACAGCTTTATGTCTTAATTTCTAAGAGGTCAGCTCTCTAGCCCTTCCCCTAAGAATGTTAACAGCAAAGTCTGTTTTCTGGCAAATGCACCCACATGATACCTTACCCTGAAAACAGTACTGTTGATTTTAGGCAAGCCTCTGTACAACCAATTGCAGACTGGAAGATCTTGAGACTATTACAGGCATCTGTTGCTCACAGAATTACTTCATTTTATTTTGCTGTAAACTCTGCTATTCTCCTGAAAACAGCCATTAAACTACTGTAAAATCAACTAACCCTCCAGGCCTGGGTAGCATTTCTTGAAAAAAAGAATGCATTGAAAACAAATTCTCTATTAAACAAATATACTATCACGTTCTGGTTTGACACTTTTGGAAGACCAACTTCTTTTCTGAGCATTAAAACTTGAATTAATCTGAAAAACATAGTGGCACTTGTGAATATATTTTTATTAACTGTCTGTAGCAAGTAGCTATTTGATAAGTAACAATGGACAGTCAGTGTGATTTGTAATACCTGCCATATAGCCAATCAGTACATCAATGCCCAAAACTTTCCGTTTGTCGACGATTTGTCTGAAACTGATGAAACACATCCATTTTTCTGAGGTACCAAAGAACCAAGAACACAGATATATAAATGAAAATATGGATATGAAAAATATCATATTGATTGTATAAAGTCCTCCAAATGATGAAATGCCATTCACTCAAATTAGACTAGAAGGCACAAATTCCATTTGCCAGGTTAAATTCTGAGCGAGAGATTTTTATATGAGAATAGAAGAGTAGGACCTTCCCTTTCCTAACAAACTGAATGCAATATACAAGTGTCTCAAAACTATGACTAATAGAAGAAATTTGGCCCTGGATATTCTTTTCCATGAGTTCTTATGTCAGTTCTACAGACAGCAGTATTACTAATCAAATGCTTGTCATTTCTTCAACTGAGCTATATCCCTTCTTTGATTACACAAAGACAGCCACCTTCAGGCTGTCAAAGAGCTGATCAAGGGACTCTGGGCAGTAAAACTGTACTGAGACTCAAGCACTCTGTGGGCATTAAAATTGTGTATGCAGACAACTCTAGCATTTAATCAATGCCACAAAGTGCTGAACATATTCTTGTAAGCTTTTTCCACCTGTCTAAAGGTGTGCAAGACTTCCTTTGTCTGCTGAATAAGCAACACATTCCTTCAGTGGAAACTTAAGTTGGGACCTGAAGGAGACAGATTTGCAGTACACATCCTTACACAGCTCAATTAGTGCTAATGGGCATCTCTGTACAAGTGGGCAGACAATGAGTGAAGGTGGCAAAGCAAGTGAATTAGGGAGTGCATTTCTCTCCCATTCTTTCCAATGTCCCAGTTCTGCCAGAGGAATGGTGGAGGGACCAACACCTATCTGGAGCACTGGGCTACAAAACTGGTTTGGTGCTTCTGAAGGTTGGGGCAGAGAAGGCTGTTGCTTTTCAACTAAAAGTATCTGTTTATAAAGCTAATCATCTAATTAAAACCAAGGAAATGAAAATTTGGGCAACTTTAAGGTGCACAATCAGCTGACAGATAAAGGAAAGATTTTTGACCCAGGTCTGTTCTTAAACGTAGGCTTGTATTGAAGGGCAGAATTTGCTCTGCCTTATTTAAGCATCTAGGTTACAGTGACTTTACCATGTGCTTTGGGTTTATAAAGTCCTGAAGTCAGCATAAAGCTCACTGCATGTCCAGGACCAATATTTTCTTCTCTCACTGGGAAAATAACACCATCCACCAGTTGCACTGCCATTACTAATTCTCCATCCAAATAGCTGACCAGTTTGTATGGGCCCTTTCCCAGAGCTGTTGAGAAAAAAAATCAGAATTATCTTTCATGTCAAGTGTCACCACAAATGCTTGAGCTCTAAATATTATGATACAGCACATAAATAAAAAACATACCTCTCCACTCTGAAAACAGCTCTAGGTGCCATGCACTAAACTATGACAACCAAAACAAAGCCAAAATCTTTTAGAAAATACCTGTTCTGAAAACTGTCCAAAATACCTAGCTTCAATTTTCAAGATTCGTGATTAGCTTCTCCTTTTCCTCCCTCTCGTCCACTTTCATTTCATCCACTGACTCCTCGGTTATTTGGTTTAGAAGTAAACAGTGTTTTACAGACCACCCTGGGACCCCTCTAAATTGTTTATTTGTATGGTTGAACTGATTATACACCTCTTACTATTCTTTAAAACCTATTTTATTAGTGTCCAAAGTGTGAGGCATTTTGCAGGAAATAAAAGTTTGTTGTCATCAAGTATCGAAGAACTCCTTGAACAGTGTAGATACAAACGTAACCACTGGGAAGTGAGACAGGAAGAAATCAGCATCATAAGCAAAGGAATGGTCATATTTTACCTATAAGTAAAAAAAGCCAAAAGCAGGCGAAGTTATCATTTCACAAATCTGACATGGTCATACCTCCTCACTTAGTTCCAATTTCACGGCAGAAGAGTATTTTAAAGTTTATTTTAAAACATTATTTGAAATTATTTTTGTAAACTTCTGTGTTAAAACAGGTATTTTAGACCACACCTGAACAATTCACCTCACTACCATTTCACCCACAAGCCAGGGCACAACAAGCATACATCTAAGGCAGAAGTGTCCCAGAACTTCTCAGCTGATAGTTGCAGCTAATACCATTGACCCTTAAAATGTTTGAACAGGTTAAAAATTTGGACTGCAATTTGCAGCCTGCCCTCATATTCAGGTTCTCCCTAATCTTAAAATTTATTAAGAGTTTTGAAATCTTAAGGAGGCTGCACTACAACTAGTTTTATATTCTAATGGCACAAATATGTGGTCAGTTAGAACACAAGCCCATGCCTAGCTAAACATGTACAGTAATACCTGGTTACCTTCAGTGCAGGGAGTTGAAAAACATTTTTTACATTACTTAAAACATCTAGTGTTCTGGAAAAGTTATTATACGTTTAAGTCTCATATCTTAGGGTCATCCAAAACTTGAGAAGCCACAGCTACCAGCTGAGAATTTCCCCTTACCAAAGACAAAAGGCTTCTGCTGCTGCGTCTAGCAGGACTGGAACGATTTCGCTCTGGATTCATGACAATGTTATACAGAAGACCCCCTCCCTGGTCTATGACAGTTTCTTAACCTTTCTGTCTCCAAAACTAAGTCATTCTAGGGAATGCTACTATATTTGAGGTAGAGAAGAAAATCTTCAGCATAGAGATTCCCCCCCCCCCCCCATTGGCAGCTCTGAAACATCCTATGTTGAATACCGATGAGCTGGATTAGCAAACAGTAGGAAGATACGTAGTGAGAAGTATATGATAACCATGTTTATTACAAGCTGGTCACATGCACAACTCTCCACTATTTCAACTAATTTCTGGCAGTGAGAATTCAGTAACAAGTAAAGCTAATAAGACACTTTAAAAGTATATGTTATCATCTAACTTCACTTCACTACTACCATAGATGTTAGAGGCACTGCACTTTCAATCTGTTACAACGGCAATAAGATCATCTAGTATCAGACTGTATTTCATTTATAAAACAAAAAAAACCCCAACAAAAAACCAAAAAGGAAGTGTAAAACTGCAATCACCTCTTATATTCAACTGGCCTTTATTTTAATTAATTTAAAGGCTTAAATAGTGATTTAGATAGAATTCCACTGCATTAGCAATTTGACCCCACTCGAAGTCTTTTCAGCAGCCAGTATTATCAGAAAATGTAAATTTCTTGGCCGTATCATTTGGGCTTGGCACATTGCACAAGCCTCTTCTAATTTAAACTTAGTCCCTCTCTGCAATCTTTCTGGGGGAGAGCTGCTGCAAGATGGAGTCTAACAGAAGACCAAAATATCACAAACCATCTGGATAGACAGGCTTCTACATGAGCTTGATAAAAAGAGTTCTAGAATAAATAGCAGGAGTCCAGACCATTCCTCACATCAGGCTGGCTTGCAGTGCTTGTATGTATACCACGTCTAACGATCCAGACACTTGCAGTTTAACTTTAAAATAGTCTGAATATGGATTCCAGCGTTAACACAGCGGTACAGCACCCAGTGCATATTCAAGGTTTACTCTAGCATCTTGTACAAGTTTTGCATCTCTCTCTGAGAGCCATTCTAATGCTGCAGCAGCGCTTGTCGCTCAGGAACTTAAAGCTATGTCAGACATACCTAAACAGAGAGTTATTCCCCATTTGGGCACAAGAAGTTTAAATATCTTAATAGCTAGCTCCCTCTGAAGGCTGCACAGGAGATCATGACTGGTTTAACAAAGCCACTGGGTACCAGTTTTGAACTGCAGTATACCTTGCCCATTTGCAAGTAGTGCCACTAGTACCGTTGGGTTGAATAGTCTATTAATTACTTAGCAATTTCATTGTTTAATCATGACCCATAAATGCAAAGAAAATTAAACATATTTTTGGGAAAGGCCCAGGAATAAAAAAGATCATGAAACTAAGCCTTTGAAAAAGCAAAACAAACCAGTAAAAGAGAATCTTGGCTATTTAAATAATATATCATCAACTGTTTTCATTAACACAATTACTTTTATACAAAGTACTAAGACTTATACAGAGAAACCAAAGATTCTATTGTCATTTTATCAGCTCCTTTAGGACTTACCTTTGTTGAAATATTCACAATCATAAGCTAAAACATAAAAAGAAAAGAAATGCAGTTGTAGACATTCTGCAGATAAACAGGTTTTCTATTACCCTTTAGGTTGGACAAGTTAGACCATACACAAACATTGCCAAATATTTACTTTACTGCTTTAAATAAAATGTTAATTTAAATCACATTCATTTAAATAGAATATTATTTTCTAGCAGGAAATACTAAGCTTACATACCTACAGCTGTCTTTTTGTGACCTCTAGTGGCTAAGACTAAGCTTTGCTGTCTTTCCATGCTTGTGCTAAAACATGTACCATTTCTACCAAAATTGAGAGTAATCCTGTTGCCCTATGGCAAATTTGCTGTGTGACCTTGAGCAAGCTGCATACTCTCTCTGTGCAACTGCAAAGTTAGAAAATGCTTGATTCCTTCCATTCTTTCTATCTTGCCCTTTTTTATCACATCTTTTGGGAGATGACTGTCTCCTGTTAGGCATTTGCACTAGGTGCAAAATTGAAGCCAGAAAAAGGCCTCAGATTTTTTTACAACTTCTAAGCATTGTTGAATAGAGATACTAAGGTAATGACAAAGTCCTGCTTAAAAACCTACTTGTTTTTCTTCAGAAGACCTTTATATTTCATACTTGCCCTGGGCCAGTAGTAAGGCAGCTATGTTTCCCAGGCCCTGTTAAGAAGTGAAGTCCTCCTGACTTCATTACTTGAGCTTTGTAATTTTGGTTTGAGGGACGCATGCCATGTACTAATGTAGACATCCCATGACTTCTCCTTTCACATCATAGGACAAGGAATTAAAAATAGAAGAGTACCACCCACAAATATGGAGAGCAGCACGCAACACAGCTAGACCAAAATGAACACAGAGGGCAGCGAGAGGTACCCACTCATCTCCCTACCAGTATGGCTTAGTGATTCAGTGTCCCCAGGCAACTTAAACGTGATTGATTTTTCAGGTCCGGGTCTCATGAATGCAGACAGTGGCAGCCACTGGCAATGCCAGTTAAATAAACTTACGACACATTCTAGGGGACCTCCAGTCTACAGCAACTCCATGCTGGCAGCACTGATGGGCATATGCTGATACACTTGTACAGAAACACTCACAGTCACCTCCTTGGTTGCAACCACATGTATCTGTCAAGCAGTTTGAGTAAAACCAGGTGACATCAATCTGGAAATATAAATATCATTTATCAAAAATATTCATATAGACACTGGCAAAAATCACCTCAATACAAAGCTACAACTCTTTCAAAATATCTTTCAAAGTACTAAAGATTTTAATCTAAATGCTTCCTGAAACACAAGAAAAACAGTTTATTAGAAGACATCATAAAATCTTGTACAGTACTTAGTAACACAGCTAAGAACATGCACCCCAAGATGTTGATGTGAGCTTGTGTTTTGTATAGTTTTGTAATACTTAAGCCATAATAAACTACAAAGAGGCTTATGAAATAAGAGAAACTCTCTCTAAACTGATCACAAATCAATAAATCTCAGAAGTGTTAAGAAAGTGGATAAAATGTATGAAAATACAAAGAAATAATAAAAATAATAAAATTTCTTACACAAAATGTAAGAAATAAAGTAGATGGAAAACTCTTGTTTCCATGTGGGAGTGGTTCATTCTCTTCATATTATTAAAAAATTTCACAGGTGAATTTGTTATTTTTCCCTTAGATTATTTTGAAGTCTTAAGTGACAAAGTTTCAAAGAAAAGTGTCAATGCTAATTTGGTTATTGAATTGTTACACATTTTACACGGATTTACACTTGAGTAATGCTTACACACTTATGAGGAACTTAGTTGCTACCTACCTTATACAGTGGACTAAACTGACATTACATTTATACAACTTTAACATCAGCTTTCACTTTCTTCCAAAATAGTATACTAAGCATCCTTGCAAGATTCCTGCTTGTCTTTCATATGAAATCTCCTTTCTCCCTAGGAACCATTCTGACACTTACACTCTTTAAGCCAAGCACACAGTCTCAATACCTGAACATCTTGTGATATGTCATTTTCCATACAAGACCTAGCTCTGGAAATGAGTCCCATCTCATTCTCCAACTGAACCTGAGCCTTTCGACTGTCAGAACATGTTGCATGGTTCATTTATCTCCTTAGCTGGTTGCCTAAGTGATAAGATATATGCATTTTTTCCTAGGAATGAGTTCTTCACATCTGATACTGCCTAGAAGAAACCGTCAATTTATTTAAATATGCCTGAAAAATGTGTGTGCTATGTAATACATTTGAGCAAATAAAGCAAGTGGTTATGTTTATGCCAATAGTGCTTAGGATGAAAAAAAAAACATAACACAAACCGGGTATAATTTTGTCTACATTAATTACAAAAGGGACTAATAGGACTACCCATATTGTAGAACGCTAAATTGGTGCTGAAGCGGCTTACTGTCTAGATCACCTAAGTGCAGATCGTCCTTATAACAGGTCTAGTTAAACATTCACATTTTCAAATGATAACAGGCATGGCTTAGACTTTCTTTGTGTTCTTTTGCTATAGTAGTCAAAATTATTATGTTATGGAAGACAAGATGAATATTTAAAGTGATGCGAGTTGAAGAGTGAAGTTTCTCTCTAGTGATATGTTCACTTTCATGTCTTTCTATACATGACCACAACTCACCACTGGATGGCAAGCTTCAAATGCTTCACTTAACAGTATTCCACATTCCTTCTTGGCAAATGGCTCTCTAAGGGGATTCAAACTGCACGGATTTCGAATGTCAGAGCTGTCAACACACTTAACCAGAAAGCAAAACCAAGGTGAGAAACTTGTTTCATAACCACTCTGTGTTTGAACTTGGAAGGTATAGTTTTGTCTTCTTTTTAAAACAAGATGTTAAACACAAAACAACTGCATCATTTATGAAACTAAAGCCAGACTAAGATATAGAATTAAAAGGGGATGCTAACCTGCAGAAAAGGAAAACCACACAATCTGAAGAACTGTTTCATTTGTCCCAGAGCAGCAGAAAAACACATACGTACATACAGCTCTAAACAGAGCTGCCATACAGTACCAATCTGCAGTCCTTACACCTGAAAAGTCTAGCTTACATAAATAACAAAGTTCACTCAGACAATGTACATTTTAAGTGTCAGAAATCAGATCTTTTTACTCTAACTACTAGGAAGGAAAATTTCTATGAACACTACTAGACACATGGTATTAAAAAAGTTCAATTTTTAACTTTACAGCATATGGAAAGAGTATTTTTTCTTTCCCTTGCTATGGTTTCGTGGTTAAATATTTTCCAGCTACAAAAGAACAGCTAAACTGACAACACTGTCTAAAGTGAACGCACAATTCTTCCATTATGTCAAAAACTTACTACTGTTCAAACAAAGTCTTCAAAAACACACTTGTAGATTCAGAATACTGTATATCATTTTTCTTTACACTGTAGCACTGTGTAGGAAAAAAGGTGATTATTTTCTTGTCCTTAATGGATTCTGATATCTGTAAGAACCATTGTTATAGCCATTTGCATTGCTATCCATTTGATACTTCCAGGAATTAATTTCTGATTTAATTCCAGGTAAGTTATATGATGTAACAGCAAAAAAACCCAACCCTAGCAAACACATTCTTTTTACTAGGTACCTCTACAGCTGTCCAGCTGTTTCCAAAGTCTTGAGAGTTTGTTAATTCAAAATTATCTGGAGTCCTCAATTCATTTACTGTCTTCAAATCAAAATTTCCACATAATCCAGTCAATTCACCCTGGGAAAAAAAAGATATATATTTTAGAAAATGTATTTCCACACAATATAAAACACTACCAGCCATGACCATTTTCAAAACTTGTTCCTGTCTTCAGTTGCTTAATTATAAATTTGTCAGTTACTTGACCCTTTTCAGCTAAATTTCAGCCAAAACAGTTCATCTCTGTGATAAAAAAGCTATGGAAAAGGTTTTACTTTGACAACATTAATATTATTACCTTTCAACTAAGTGTCTCCAAGCCTTCGAGAAAGGAGCTGATCTTTTCTTCAGAGAAGTGACCTGTTTGCTAGCTATGTGCTCTTTTATGCTTCAGCAAAATAACACCTACTCCAGTAATATAAGGATGAGTACTGAAGGAGAATGTTGTCTCAAATATATTTATTTCTGTTGTTACAGAAGTTAGACAGTAAATAGTGACACAATAACAAAAACAAGTAAATGAAAATTAATATTTTAATTGACAAGGTAGTCGAATGCTTCTCTCCATGACTCTGCCACTGAGTTCCTACATGATTTCTGACACATTGTCTATTCTCTGAATAATGACATGTCTGTCTTAATAAGTCTTATGTAAGTACCTAAAAAAATGGCAATAAGAGTGCTGACTTCCACTTACCTGCCACTGATGACCCATCTGTACATGAACTGTTGTTCTCTGATCCCAAAGAATGGTGATGTGCTCATCAGGAAAATGAACAACAGTGAAAAAACCAGCTTTCCATAACTGTATTTTTTGTAGTTCATCTATGTAACTAGATAAGCTCTGTTCAAAATAAGACAAGGCAACTTATAATGTATATGCTTAAACAAAAGTGGTCTGGATTTGGATTTTGAACTGTGTTGTATTTTTATGATTTTACTATTTTAAGAGTTGACTGTATATCAAACTCACAGGATGGGTAATGGCAACTGGAGTGAAGATTAAAATGTTAATGTTCATCTGGGAGGTAAAAAATTAGTCTTAAGTAACCTGGTTATGATTTTCACTTAGTTATACATCATTGCATTCAGAAAGTCTTAGACACATGCTTTTTTTAATATAGATAGGTATAAAGATGCATGGAGCATCTTCTTGAAATACAGAATTTTCTAAATATGTCCAGAGATTGCCATCTTATTTACATAAAGCTTTCTTCTCTCCATCCAATAACAATCAGATTCCAAATTATTTGTAGTATGGACTAAGATGTCTGGTTTAATTACATGATGCCTCATACAGAGACACAACTTCCTTTGTACAGTCAGCCTATAAACTGCAAAAAGTACTATTTATACTAAAATTACTAAATACACTAAATATTTACAGCAATAGAGTTTGCAGTTTGGCCAAAACAAAAATAAAATTAAGGCTGTGGAGGATATACCAGGGACTGCAATTTAATTTTTGTTACAGTTGTATAGGAATATTCCAGACCAGACTAAACTCTTAAATCTAGTGGAATTAATAGCAAAACTCCCACTAACTTAAAAATATCTGGATTTTTCCTAAGACAGCAAACAGGAATTAAGTCTAAACAAAAGAATTACAATCATCTCATCTAACATTTTCTTGAAATATAGACAAAATTTTGTTTAAGGTTTCCATTAACCAATCCAGATGTGATCAGTGCTCATGGTAAAAACATTTACACCTCTGCTACTTAAGTGACACAGTTTGTTTTTGGTAACGAAAGGAAAAAACACCCAGAGAAGTACATATGCTACCTTTTGATCAGTGTTAAAAGATTGAAACTTACTGGATTTCCAGTTTCATCATCAAATATTAAAAAAGATTTTCCAACATTAATGAAAATGTTTTTTCTGCAAACTATTCCAGTATTAAAGCAGTTAATATTCTCTATAGTAACAGAAAAACTGGTTGAAGTACCCTGAAGAAAAAAAAAAAAAAAGAAATGGAGACTTTTAAATATACTAATATAAATATGTATATTGTTACATAGTTGAATTAGCAGAAACCTCAGTGTATAATAATGTTATGTATGCTTTGAAGTCTAAGCAACATCAATAAAACGTACAGACAGGAAATAAGTAGGACAGTTTTTAACAGGTAGTTTTTAAGTACAGTTTTACAAAGGTTTTACAAAAAAGTCTCACCTTAACAAGGTAAACCTTACAAGTTCCAACAAAGTCAAATGTTAGTCCATCAAACGTTCTGTAATGCCGATCCCCGTACGCAGTACACATTGATGGGCAAGGATGGAAGGTGCATTGAAATGATCCATGCTGGCAAATGCTGAAAAATGTATGACCAATAATGGTAATATCATTTCTAACCACACACAAATGATTACAGCTATTGCAGTGAGAAGCAAAAATACAAAAGCCATGCAAGTATGAAGACTGTGGACATAAAACATTTTGAAATGTTAACTAGAAGCAACATATATAAATTGATTCTCAGGAAAAAAAAAACCAAGTACATACTGAACCCTTACAGTCTGTGTTTCTTCCTGTTAGAATTTACAGGTTCCAGAACACATAGGCACTGAAAAGGCCTTTCTTTTGTTGAAACAAGAAAACAAAAAATGCCACCCAAAGTAATACAATTTATTCTCTACTAACTGACATCAATAAGGTGCCACAGGTTAGAGCTTCTTTTTCAGCTTCTCACAGAATGTTTGCTTTTAGACGAGCTGAATCTGAGAACCAACAAGCAATGTGTCCTATTATGACAGTATTTATTCACTCTCTGCTTGAATGAGAATTTCACAGAAGTGCAAAGGAAAAATTTTGGTAGCACTATTTTAGTGCTTAGGTTCCTTAAAAGAACTGTTATTTTCAGTTGTTAGGTCTTTTTTTTTTTTTTTCCCCCAGATGCTGAGGTATTATCATCCCCAAACCCTAGCCTAACACTTTAGGGGCTTCCAGAATAGTTCAAGTTCTGTCTATGGCCACCTTAAGCATCAAAATGCATTCATCACACATACACTTAAGTGACTGTTCAGACCTTCCTGAAATTACCTTTGCTTTATAACTGCCTAACAGCGAGGCTTTGCAGCACCAGATACTATGTCTCTTTCCGCATCACCCTCTTGCAATTTAAGTAACATTTTCAGAAATTACAGAAGATTCTAAATAATGGATAGAATTTCATTTCCTGCATCCACAAGTCCTTTTTTTAAAAAAAAATGTGTTATTTTTTAGGTTTCTAAATCACCTGGACACTTAAAAATCTTTCCTCAGTAAAGACAGTAGAGCTGGTGATCTGGTATAACTTCACTATGGGTGTATTTTATAAATATAGGTTAAACTAAATACAGCATGTGATATAATTTTGGCACATATCTATCTTTACTTTCAAAAATACTGAATTTTCAATTTCCTGATTAAGTGAATACTTCACATTTTACAACTAAAGTATTAATCTGACTTATGGAAGAATTTGATAAATCACTAATGTTTGGCATCTTATATACTGAAGCACCAAGCAGTAGGAAGTTTTTGTCAGTATAACTTTTATTTTTCTGTTCATATTGCTATCATCTATGACAGGGTCAGAACACTACTGTTTTCTAAAGAGCAGCAATTATCTAGAAAATCTAGGCAGCTCCAATTACTAGTACATCATGTTTCCTTCTGTTGCCTTACCATGTAACTTGCATCAACCTAGAGTAATTTTCCAGATTTTCCAAGACTCCACTTATCCCGTCATTGATTTGGCCCACAGCTTGTGTTTTGTGTAACTACATATATAAATACACTAAGCACATGGCTAAAATTAGTTGAACACAGGACATGACAAACGTGTTTGCTGTACCAAAGCACAAGCAGATGGCAGTAGGACTCACCCAGCTAACTCTAGTCACCTCACAGTGGTACCTAAGGCAGGAACCTCATCAAGCCAATGGAGAGAAAGGCAAATAGGAGAAATTATACTTGGACTGAAAGAATGAGTGCTGCTTCTCATGCTTTCTGTGAGACATTAGGTTTTACTTTTACTCTTGGCCTATTCAAATCCTCCTCCACGTGCTGGTCTGTTAAGGGCTCGTGCAGAAACATTTCTTAAATGTGAAGAGTCAGAAGACCCTTTGCATACCTTCTTTTTCAGAAGTCTTAACACATTTAGAGTCAGAAGGAAGGGCTTAAGAGGTACACAGTGTCTTCCAAGTCCTCTGCACCAGTCTTGTTTCATACTAAGTAAACTAACATTTAGTATCAGAATCTAGAGACTCCTAGCTGGAATAGCAGAGCTACTGGTGTCTCCCAAACTTTGACTAGCTTTTTAAAAACAGTGTCTCCAAGAAGCATTTGTTTAAGAACACAGAAGGCCCAATTCAGCAACCCACAGAGACTAACAGCATTTTTGCTCAATGGTCTCAATGTATGACAGCAAACCAGCATAGCTAACTGCACCACCCATCTTACTTTGCACAGCACCAAAATGATGCTCTGATACCTTCAGTTAGCGTAATAAACTGTTGTGTTTAATCTTGCCATGTAAACAATATCAAGCAGTTGCACTGAAAACCAAATTTGGGAATCTAGAACTGCAGTTCAGCCAGACCCCTGAGACTGGGTTGAAAGTTCCCGACACTACACTGGTAGTTTTGCCAATTTAAGGAATTATTTTATTTGCCATTTTATTGTTCAATAGACAAATCAAATTCACAGTTATGTTGCTAACACTACATCAGCAATTAAGAAGATGATACTTCGTATCAACGCACACTATTTCTGTGCACTAAGTAACACTAAAGTCATCATAACTGCTATGAATGCCTAAGTGGGTTGGTTTGCACAGAATTATTCTCATGCTTTGCGTGAGCACAAAATGCACATTTTCTTTGACATATCCCATACACCCCTGCATACACATAAAGCAGTCTCAAAGACTTTTTACACTTCGTATCAAGCAAAGCTTATTGCAGGCTTTCCATCTGTCAGTGGATAACTGATTGCCAAAAAGCCATTATCACTTCATCTGCCTGTGCTTCTGGACGTAGAAGACTAGAAAAGCCATGACAACCTTAAGGATTTGTACGTGAATTAATGGGCCTGGCCTCAGAAAAAAAAAGAGAGAAGGCTAAATATCCAGTGTGTTTCTGCCTGCACTGCTGCTGCCTTTGGTGAAGTCTCATAGAGATTAAGTGTTAGATAATAGTTCTTTCTGATGCAAGCAATCCCACACCAGGTCCAATTGGAGAGGCCTTTGGAAATAAGGGGGTGAATAACCCGGATCGCTTTACCTGCCTGCCCAGTGGAGATGGCCTGTAAGTCGCTTCACCAGTCGACCAAAGGGCTACAAATATCTTCTAGAGCAGATACTGAGGACCTGACGAGAGGCAGAGGTAGGCAGTCAGCACAAGGCTGGAAGGGGCAACGACATCCAGACAAGGCAGTGATTAGTGCTGACTGGACAAGCCTTCACCATACTAGGCTATACTGCGCTGTGCAGGCCAGGAGCAGTAGTTTACCAGGTGACACCAGTTAAATGTTCCTGGTAAGCTAAAAGAAGGAGACAAAACGAAGGAACTGCTCTGCTGGGAAGCTGGAGACTATACCACTACCATAGTATCTTGATGCTTGACAGAACAGCTGATTTTTCTGAGGCTCTGCTAAGACAAATAGTGCCGCTTAGGGCCAGCTTGCACCATTCAACAGTGGTCAGAGAAGAAAGCAAGCAGGGACCATCAGGGTTTGTTTGTGGATCATGCAGATGTAGTATATTTTCACATCTTCGCTCTTGTGAAGCTTATTGAAATGGCAGTGTACCACGTTCTACTGAGAGTGCTCAAGGAAACTTTGCAAAGTGACGTAACTACAGGGTATGTGCTGCATTTGCAACGCTGGATAGTAAAAGGAATAGGCTTCTGCATGTAGTTGAGTGATCCTATCAATCCTTTGCTATTGGAACACTTCCTTTATCTTATCCACACACGCAACACTTGCAAACAATTTATATGCTCCTATGCTCAGTACATGATGTAGCTCAGTAATCCCCTTAATTTTATCTTTGTAGCAGGTGTATTATTTATGGCCACAGGGTTATGTTTTGGGTCCTTAGACTGCTCAGATTCAATGCTAAATGTGAAAACGAGTACGTAAAAAGCTTTAACAAATGTCACTCAGGTATAATATTTAAAGGATTTTACCTTAATTTAGGAACACTGGCCAAGGAATATTAGTTTAGATTACCTAGATAATCAAAACAGTTATTTTTCTAAATCAAGCTTCTTTTTTTTTTTTTAAACTCCCAAATAACCGTTATTTTGTTACGTACGAGTTCCTTGAAACAACAAACCCTAAACACCACATAATTTTAATAGTTCTTTGAACAAATGTGAATACCAAATTAGGGTAGATGGTTTACCAGAATTCGGTGTGAAATTTGTGATTAAGAAACATGAAGGAATAATCAACCCATAAACAACTAAAATGAAATAGTCACCTAAATAGATCTCTGCTTACCATGTATGACAGGAAGAAATGACTTTGTCACCTGGAAAGTATTCCTTTCCTTTCCATGAACATGGACATTCATCTGCTTCCAAGCACACATCCCCATGTTTAACAAGACTGTCAAAAAAAGAACAAAGAATATACATTCAGCAGAAGTACACCTGGTATTTATATACAAAATATTTTCCTAAACTTTTAAATTATTAGCATTATTGTTATTGAAAAACAAATAATATTTAAAATCTTCTGAAATTGAAAAGGCACAATTTTATTAGTAATTATGAGTAATTTGGTAATTTCCTTTCACAGGTACCTGATTATTGTAGCTCATGCTAGCACTTCGGGCACTAGCCCTTCAACCACTAACTCTGTGAAGACTTATTCATTAACGTACGATTTTTAAGGTCAGGGAACTAAGGTTTTCCAGACCTCCTCTAAATTTCACCAGATTTCTTGTAACTCAGCCCATTAACTTATATTTAACTAAAGCCAAGAGATCTTCCAAGAGATGTGAGAGCCATTATATCCCTTTGCTCTAGTGGTATGTGCTCTTACTACAAAAAAAATCAATAGCTTATTTATTCTAAAAATTTTTAAATGAGGATTTCTTCTTGTTCTCTTCTTTTCTTCACCTGATTTAAAAAGCTTTCATTTGCTGCATTATTTTCCTATTGCTGTAGCTACACCTCTTGCTCTGTGAATAATTTAATCAGTATCAAAAGAGCTATCCTGTTGGCACAAAATTGAGTACATATTTCTGTACAACTGGCACCTTTATGCAATCAATCACAAATACGCTTAACTTTATTAGCAGAAATATCCTCACAGCCTTCAAAGGAGATTTTCATGACAACACAGATAACCATATGCAGAGCTATTCACAGCTCAAGACTAATGCTATAAATTTGTGCTTATAATCACAATTCCTAGAATAACAGATAAAAATTGAAAATTAAAAAAAAATTCTGAAAAATATTCCATTAACAGAGAAATAATAGAGGAATTATTGCCTAGCAAAACAAAATAAAGCAACTAGTCTAAATTTTAAAGTAAAATATTTGCTGCTTCTTATAATATCAAAAAAATGAAATATGAAAGTTAGAGATCTCAAACAGACTCTACAAACAAATTTCAGAAATATTGTATTATTTTATTTAAAAAGCTATCTTTTCACTGAGCCCAAGAAAGTTATATTTTTTCCAAAGATGGATTAATTTTTTAAAAAATACTGTAAGGCTACTGGATAGGCAAACAGGTAACAGTATAGGACCTAAAGGTCCAATAACAGATAGAAGAACACCTTTAATAACAAATCAATCTGCCAATCAAAAACTGTGAAACGTGAACTCTTGATAAGCTATAGCAGTGTCTTTAACTGGTGTAGCTCCAACTTGTTTTGGGTTCTGTATCCGTCCCTACACAGGATCCTGTTTGATACAACGTAAGAAGCTGGAGCAACTAACATGCTAGTTAGGATTTCTTACAGGCACCATGCAATCTACCATTATCCTTGTTTCTGAATTCTAAGTTTTGAAATCCATTTGTATTGTGACATAAACAGTCTCTTAAAATGGTGCTGTTGGGCTGATAATCTTTTTTCTTTTTCAAGGTAATTTTGTTTAGAATTCCAGTACCTCTCTGTAGTAACACAAATTTTATACAGGTTTTCCTGTGTTCCTAACAGTTTTGTGGAGAAAACAGATTTGGCATTTCTGATATTTAGCACTGTAATTTGGGCAAGACACTCCACCATGGACAAGAGACCGTAGGTGTGAGGCACAGCCATGACAAACAGGGTGATGACACTGTTTTGTTTCCCTGGTATCCCAAAGGAAAGATTTTATCATTGCATTTATCATGGAACATCTTATTTACTCATATTAATGAAGTGGAAATATGTGTACTATGACTTAGACTCTTCTTCAGTGTGTTCTCAGATGGGAATTTGCAAGTCTGTAGCTCTTCTTAATGGGAATGTGCAGACATCATAGAACCCCCTCCCCCATTAAACTGAAAACTGTAATTTTCCCCCAGGGTACATGAAATGTTCTTTGTAATCCATACTTATTTCAAGTATTGTGTCACTTGAAGACAATTAACTATGAAACTGAAATTCCCACTGGTTTAAAGCTGCTCAGAACTGAACAGGGCACATTCAGACACAAAGAGCATCACTCTGACAAGGTAACACTAAATGCATTTTTTTCCTCATGTTATTACTCCGGCTAAAACAAGTGGTAACAGCTTTCTCTCTTGCAAAGCCAAGCAAATGGATAGATTTCAATGATCTAAGAATTCACCACAAATACCCGATAGAAAGGCCTTGCACAGCTCTCTTTTGAAGTATCAAACACTTTTCTTGACACCTATACTTACTGTCTAAGCTACAATGAACTGCAAAGATACGATAGCTATCACTTCACCATGCTGAACATTCACTTTCATTACAAGCTCATTATTGTGTATAGCTTTGTTCAATCATGTACACACAAACATGTAAATAGTCTTGGTAAAGGCATCATTAGAAGCAACATGTCTCCCGTGAGTCAACAAACCCTTCTTTGCTTCTGCAAAACCCACAAATCTGGACCAGAACACTAAAAAAATAACTCTCTCACAGCTTCACTGGAGCAGTTTTCAACAGGTTGTGTATTGCATGGCTCTCTCCCCTCCCTTCTGCAACAGCCTACTGCCAACTGATTTATGCAGCCACAAACGCTTTTGCCCAAACAACAAATTTGCTCTCTGAGGGTTTCACAAATCTTCCTACAAAGGTCTGTAATAGAGTTTAAGGGAGATAAAAAGAATGAAATACGCAGCAGGTCACATTTCTAATACCAGAATTCCACCACCACCCGTTGCTTCCGTAACCAGAAAATAAGATAAACCAATTTTTAAAATACAGCAGATGTTTGTAACATTACTGTAGCACCTGATGGCTTCATTGCTGTTCATTCACTGTCTAGACAGGGAGAGTTACTCTATTCCTGATGAGTGTTTTCTTACTTGTTCAGGGAGCTTTTTACAGCCTACCTCTTCTTCCCTCCACCCTCTCCAGTTTACTATAAAGAACTGTTAATTAAATTTGCCAAGCACCACCCATTTTGCAGAATGCTTGAAAGGTTTTTAGTATCCTTGCTTTATCCTTCTGTGTAACAACTGATTTTGACATTTCAGCTGAGATACAGACCCCTGAATTTCTACAGTTTCACCCTGTATTGCAACACCCTGCCTGCATTCAGCTCTACCATCAGCAGTGCACCGGTGTCAGCGGTGCTAAGCAGAGCAGGCCCTAATAAAGAAAATTTACAGAAACAGCAGTAGCAGCTTTAAGACCAAAGGCAGGTGAGAAGACAAAAAACAAGAGCGAGAAGTAGAATGATAGGGATTCATCTAGATTCCCCTATTCTGCAACCTTCTCCACAAAGGCCTCTGAAAACTTGGCTCATCCATTGTCTGTGCCTCCTCCGAAGTCTCCTGGAGCTAAAAGAAGCTCCTGACTCCACGCAACTTCTACTGATTGTTGTGGACAGAAGAGAGCAAAATTATCTCTCAAGTGCAGTATTCAGAGCTGCATAAAAGCTGGGTATGGGTTTTGCTGCAACATCAGAGCAAAGCAAGAGAAGGACTCTTGCTTTACTTGCTTGCGATACTGGACCTGTGGGTCACCAATGCATGTGAGCTAATGGGTGACATCAAGCTTGGAGGCAGCCTGGGCTGCAGTGATCATGCACTGGTGGAGTTCACAGTCCTGAGGGATACGGGGCAGGTAAAGAGTAAAGTCAGGACCCTGAATTTTAGCGAAGCAAACTTCCAGGTCTTCAGCGAGTTAGTCAATAGGACCTCCTGGGAAACTGCCCTCAGGGACAAGGGAGCAGAACACAGCTGGCAGATCTTTAAGGGTGCTTTCTATGGAGCACAAGAGCTCTCGAACCCCACGTGTAAGAAATTGGGAAAGGAAGGCAAGAGACCAGCATGGCTGGTCGAGACCTGCTGGGCAAACTAAAGGGCAAAAAGGAAACGCACAGGCAGTGGAAGCAGGAACGGGTATCCTGGGATGAGTATGGGGACGCTGCCCAGTTGTGCAGGGATGGGATCAGTCATAGCTGGAGCTGAACTTGGCAAGGGATGCAAAGCATAATAAGAAGGGTTTCTATAAGTATGTTAGCCAGAAAAGGAAGGTCAAAGAAAGCATCGAGCCCTTGATGAGCAAGACTGACAAACTGGTAACAACAATGAGGAGAAGGCTGAGGTACTCAATGATTTCTTTGCCTCAGTCTTCCCTAGCAACCTCTATTCCCACACCTCTCCAGGGGATGGATGGCATGATGGAGACTGGAGGAGCAAAGTCGCTCCCACTATAAGAGATCAGGTTTGGGGAACCTGAACATACACAAGTCTATGGGACCTGATGAGATGCATCCCAGAGTCCTCAAGGGAACTGGCTGATGTAGGTGC